CCAGAGATCGGGTCTTCATCTTCTTTACAACAAGAACCTGGGATTCGCATATTCGCTTCCATCCGTGAAATGAATAAATTGTTTCATTGAGTACCCGTAGGAAGTCGCTATCGCGTCCCTCAAATTAATGATCCGAAGTTCAGCCAACCATTTCACCTGCATATCTCCGGTAGTGTCAGACAATCGACAAACTCTTCCCTCCGTAGAATGCGTGACTAATTTTGACGTCTTGTTCGAAAATTCAGTCGAATTTACTACTCGTCCGGTTAGACAATCAACAAATGGAGACTCATAGTTTCAAATAGTTCTGCTGACCGTCTTTATGAGGCATATAAGAACCCCCGGAGATGACGTCTTTGTACTTTGTCTCCTGGGAGCCTGGACTATAGAACAAAGGGGATGTGGTTTATGCATCCGCCCCAGACCTCAGCCTTGAGTGTCAATTTCAAATACCTGCTTAAACATCACCTAAACTTTCTCTGACGACTACCGCGTATTCATAAATTTGCTCCATGCATTCAGAACTTGGAATCTCTCATATTATCGGGACTGCGTCGTATTACGCCCACTCGTCCTTAGTAGTCAAAGGTGTTTGACAGCCGCCCAAATTCCAACAGAACCGTCAGTCTCCCGGGCGCATGTTTTGCGCTTCTTCCGAAAAAATGTCGGGATCATCTACTGGACTCCAATGATGTTCGTTAACCCCCATACAACATTGACGCTCTTCACGTCCGCTAGCCGACCTGTTTGTTACCAAATGTCCGTATGAACTGCCACAAGATGCCTTCACTGGCTTTCAGAGATGGAGACTTCCTCCGTCACCTCAATCCGCCGGAGGTATATTGCTCTTTGTGGGCTTCTCACTCGTAGTCAGCGCCTTCATTGATCGCTAGAGAAGTAAAATAACAAATCGAAGGCTTAGTTCGTCCCCCGACTTTATTCAATAGGAAATGTTGGCCTACTGAGATCCAACGCAGCACATTCAGAGGCGAAATGCGTGCCATTTGCCTCCCATGGAAAAAACTCCCGTACCACTCCAAGACAGACTTAACCGTCTTAACCAACTACGAGGCCAGAACCCCTCCCTGAAACATACCTTGGGTCGGTATAATTCCGGTGAATTTCGCAAACCGCGTTTAAGTTCCTAATATGCTCCGGACGCTTGTACCATCGGCGGAACAAAAAAAGCATACCATTACTGCCCGTACTATTCGAGTTCCAATCCTTCATACGCAAATGCTAAGCGAAATAAATTGTACGATAGCTAAGAAAAAAGGGAGGGAGGTCAGCAACGATGGCATTAGTCTCTGACCCAGGGACACCTCTCCAATCATTAGTGGCGACATCATCGTCTCCCATCATCCTTCCTCCTTCTCCCATCTTCCTCTCTGCACCTCAGTTTCTTCATCGTATGGCACAAGCCATTCAGGAATACGGGAGAAGAGTATACTGGTTGCCGACATGTCCACTTGGTCCAGAAACTATAACAATGTCGAGACTTGGACAAGGATCTGTTTGAACAAACAACAAATCAAAATCCATCATAACGACAGGTCCCCATATGGACATTTCCACAGCTACAGCGCTCAGTTCAGTGACATAACGGTGTCGAGTGTAGGCCCCCTACCCCCTCGGTGTTGACCACACAAAAATTGTCACTCGAAAATATGTAATTAGGAAAACTGCGGCATCTTAAACAAAAGACAGGTACTTAAGCGAAATATTAAGACAACCGACAGATCAGCATATGAACAGCAAGTAACTGTGATTGTTTTAGTTGTGGCAACTGAGTGTGAAAGCCGGAGGATGGTGATCCCTAGCATAATGTAATGAAAATGCCGTCAAGAGTGAATTAAGCGGTGGCTGACACCAAGAGATCGCGTGAAACATTTCCGTTCGGTCGCCGTCGCTGATTGTAGACTCTGCGCGCAGCGATCTGGCCAAAAGTTTCAATATTAAGCTGGAGCTCCCGCCGTGCCGTAGACATTGAAAACCCTTGAGAAGGTCTCGAGCGATCAAATGAATTGAAACGACCGCGTTCACTATTTCCACTTCCTCTGGTTGCGCCTGTTGGTCCGCGTGGTCCGCCTTCGGATCGGCTTATCTGATCAAAGAAGCACTTTTCGCGCACATAATATTCCCCACTGCAGAATGAGAAAAATAAGCAAAGACGTCTTTTACAAAACCGAGAGACAAAGCTAACAAATAGGGTTAAAGTGGAAGCAGTTGAAGTTGAGTTACCCCAAAGAAGCCCCAACAACTGATGAGGGAATTAGATGTGAAGCCTTAACCTGTCTGTTTAAGAGCGAAAATACAGAAAAAAGGACGTGCAGGACTTTAAAAAACATACTTGGCAAGAGTTTGGATAGGTTCCGTTGTTGTCCCAGAGGCAACATCCGTGGTCCCAGATGAGGAGTCACCTGATGCACCGCTTCCAGAAGCAGTTCCTCCGAATGCGCCAGTTTCAACACTTGTTGGATTCACACTGCGGTCTCCAGAGCTGAGTTTGTCCTGCTCATCTGGATTTTCAGCGTTCAGATTAATCTTCGCTAATTCGGCCTCCAGTTCGGCATTGGCCGTCTCGAAGTCGTAAGGTACCGAGCAGTCAACTTCTGCATGCGAAAAGGAGCGAGACGATTGACCGTCAGTAAACATAAAGATATAGAAATATATGAGGAAATCGACGTAGGCCCCTCGCAGTTCTACAAATCCCAAACTCGACCTTAGTAACGCATGCGCGCTGTTAAAATGGCAAGGATTAATTAAAATGAGAATACGGTGAGGCAGGAACATACCAGGGGCCGCGGGAGCAGTTACAACACGTGAGGGACCACTACGGCGTTCACTGTTACCACGTCGGCCACCTCCAACTGGGCCGTTGTAAACTTGCTGAGGTAGAATTGTCAATGTATGCGGCTGGTAAGCTGCAGCCACCTCAGGAGGCAGATAAACGAACACGCCACCATTGCCCGAAGACGGCGGATATGAGCGTCTACCACCGCCTCCAGACGGACCAGATCGACGACCCATCCCATTCTGCCTTCCATTGTTGGACACTCTATATGAAGCCCCGCGAACAGGAGCTAGATATGTATTCCGAGCAGGGGCGGCCGGAAGAGCTTGGGCCGTGGCAAACGGAAGAAATGGCGGTTGTCTCTGAGGTCCTCCGTTTCTGCCTCGTCGTATAAATGGACGCGACTGTCGGTGAGTTGGCGGGACGGACGCCTGACCGGTTCTTGATGTACGGCCATTGCGACTGGCTCTGTTCGAGTTCCTGCTTGAGGAAGCACTGTCGGTTGTTTGAGCCTTCAAGCAAAAATAAATCGAAGAGTAAAGCAGAGAACGAGGTGTAAACACGGCAAAAGTTGATTGCGTCTGGACTTACGACGACAGCGGGTGGCTTCTTTGCCTGGCCTTTGTTTGGTTCTGTGGAACTAGCAATTTTCACAGCGACATCTGTCAGTTCATTTTTGTCGGTTACTTCATCCGTTATCCTCAATTTTATCACGTTTGACATCCAAAAGGTAACAGAGTCAAAAAGCGATCCGATTGCTGGTCCCTTGTTTTCACTTGCAGGCGCAGAAGTACTCCCAGGAACCCTATTCTCGGCACCCCAAAATCGTACGTTTCGAAGCGTGATCGTGTCCTCGATGGAATTGATGGCAGCTACCGTCCCTTCATATCGATACTGGACACTGGTGATGAGCGAAACATTGGAGCCAATCGGGATTTTGCTCAGTTGCGGAACCTCGGAAGTCGCCATCTATCCGAAATTGGGCCCGTCAGAAATGGAATAAGTGAAAAAATCAGCGCCAAATAGCGAGCTGTGCGCAGTGAGTTCCGTTCGCAAAGACGGATACCGGGTCCCAACTGTGTCGCGTATGTTGTAAGCACTGAGCGAACGGCGAGCGGCGCCGTTCAAAATTCACATCGACCACTGCTTACCGATCGATAAATCGAAAATGCTCGCGCGCCCCTTAATTGGCCTGCAGCTGCGCGCGATGAATGGTCGCCTTTCCTTGGTCTGCCACAGGCAAATGTTGTCACGAGAGGCGCCAGCCAAATGAACGAAAATCATGCGATCGGCAGACATATGACCAATCGCCACAGAGGCTTTTAGCGATAGGCGATGGGAGGAGAATATGACAAATAAAAACCAGCGGAGAGAGAGAGAGAGAGAGAGAGAGAGAGAGAGAGAGAGAGCGAGAGAGAGAGATGAGAAGGAGTAACTGCCTCATCAGATGAAACACGCGTAGAAAGCCGGTAAAAGCATATCCGCAAGACATGGTGGACAGTTTTCCAACAGTATCGAGGAACAAGTAAAATACGCCGCCCGTCCAGGGCAGTGAATCATTTGCGTCGTTTTATGCTAAATGCTCTTTTTATCGGAACGCGTTGCCGGATATTTATGGAGCAAAACTAAGAGGTGGCATACATGAGAAAATATGAGAAAATCTGAAAACCGGGCATTTTGGAAAGATGATCTTTAGGTCGAGGACAAGTTAAAGTTCTTTTAAGTATTAAAACTGGGCACTTAGCTGTGCGAGAGATAGATCAGAGTAATCAGTAAGTCAGCAAGAGGCAGGTGTGAGGTCATGGCAACTAAAGCAACTGTGAAAAAAAACATCAAAACAAGCCGGTACACCAAGAAAACAGTAGTTTTCGTCAATGTTGGGGAGCGAGTAAAAATGATGCGTAGCGGATAGGTGACTGATTGCGAGGAAAAGACTAGAAAATCTTACGCTCCAGCGTCAATCCAAAGTGAATTGCTGAAGATTTACTAAGCATTTGGTCAGTGCAGGTGCATCTTTTAACAGATCTCCAGTAGCTTTTGCAGGTTACTGGCTCATTAACCGCGTTTTTTTCTCTAAAACCATGGCAGTCGGTCGCAGGTGCACTTTGTTACTGAATTGATATCTAAAAGACGATCTGAAAAGACTACCTTCTAGTCTACGCAGTGGGGCTTTTTAGAACACCTTGGTGCTGCCGGTCTAAAGGTACGATGTCTGACCGGTCGCTAGGGCGTTGCCTAATCTCTCTCACCCGCTGTGCCGTCTGCCATCTCTTAACCTTTACAAGATCAAAAATGAAACTTGCGATTCCAGCGAGAACGCTTCACTAAAACTCTACCTCCCAAAACGAACTTGGATAGCTGAAAAATCTTCATTGGAGACTGTGACTTATTGGACCGGTCGTTGGCGCGCAGAATCAAAAACAGCGGGACCAGTAACAAGTGGGTGGTATTCGAAGCGTTTCACCGCCGGTGGCTCGCTGAACATGGATTTCAGATGGTTGGCAGTGAGGTCGCAAAGTGTGAGTGTCTGGACGCAGACCAATATGCACGCTTATGAAGTTGTGATACGACCTCAATGTCGCAGATAGCTCATGGCCTTTATGATCAGGCTGTGTCTTTATAATTTGGCCTTCAAAACGGGCTGCGCTGATGATGCGTCGGACCAAAACGTGGACCAGAATGGCTGCATGGAGTCCGCGCGAGTCCATAACCATTGCTGTACTCGTGTGTGGTGGAACACCCAGACGTAGACCTTCACGCGGCAAGGACTCAGTATGCGACCCCTTTTATGGAATAAAACCAGGTCATCGTGTAATACGAGTTTCATGGTTGGGCTAGATGGCGAAAAGGACAGCGTGACAATAGGTAAATATTCGGATAACTGTTGAGTTGTCATATTATGTCCTCGAGGTATATTTATCTACAGCTACTTGCGAAAAAGCACACGTACTAGGAACCCGATCTCCGAGGAATGATGAGGTCACCTGGAAATCTGACAGTGCAAGCAAAAGTTGGGCATGTTTCACAGTTTTTCCAATTTGTTTTTACAAAATAAGTAGATTACATTTTATCTAGTTATGTGAACGCGAAAGCATCGATTATAAAAGAAGACAAGAACACAATACGTCACGGCGACCTGGTTTTTGACTCGCGAGTGGAGTCGCATATTATACCCTTGCCCATCACAGCGTGTCGGTCACTGCGTCCAATTACATCTGCCGTTGGTTATCAGGTTTAGACAGTCGGTTCATGCACCGGGCCCCGTGGGATCCATCTCCACGGCACATCGGCGCGTTTCTCACTACGACAAGTCTGACGCGATTGAATCTATCACGACGCGATGAGGACTGTTACTTGGAAGGTTGTGGACTGACAGGATAACGTAGTCCTTCTCAGGACTGGGAATCAGGCGACAATGGCTCCTTCCTAATGCGACCTAAATGGCACCCTCACTGATGTGAGATTCGAATCGCCCTTACAGAAGACGGATGAATGTCGTGTGTGGTACGAGTCGTTTGATTTTGTCAGTTATTGAGCTTACGTCCGCCTTCGGTTGCGTTGTGGGCCACATCTATCAAAAGAAATATGATAAAAACAGGCTGCATTAAGCTAACGAGGCTACGTTCAAAACCGAAATGGCATGCTGACTTGGTCCGCATGTTAGAAGGTAGTCAAACTCTTGTGAACACACAGCGCCTGCCAACGTCGAATACTTTCACTTTATCCTATCAATACTGTCGACCCAGACCGCAAGAAAGTCCTACTTGACAAAATAAACGATCTTCGACGAACCGTGATGCTAAAACTCGACACGCAAGTACGGACGAACAAGACGTCGTTTCGACATGATTCCATGGTTCACTCAGATGCATTTTTTGGTCTGTCTCTAAATAATAGGCGACACCAGTAAAAAAGAACAGACAAGAGGATTCTAATCCGAGCAAGATTCCAAAATCAAGCATGTCTCGCCGACCAATCATCGCAGACAAGGGTACGAGGAGGAGAGAGTGCGGTAGACGTTGCTCATAACCGCGTCACTATAAACTATTTCACACGTAGGCCACCGATTCTGTGTACATCCCGTGCGGCAAACGATTGACATAGCCGCCTCCGACGGTCTAACTGTCGTGCCTGCGAAGTTCAGCTTGTTGGTCGGCCGCCAAGATATGGGTAAAGACAAGAGGCAATAAGTTCCCCCCACATCGTTATTTAGTACGGTAGCATTAATGAGTCATGTCCTACCGTGGTACGAGCACAGAACCTTCAGTGACACTTGAGGAGTGAATTAAGTAAACAGTACCAGATTAAAAAGTCAAGTTGGCAAACACGTGTTTTCGGTAATTCTTCGTCAGGCCAATACAGTTACATGAAGTACCAGTTTACTTATAGTCATTTTGAGGGTTTCTGATCTGTGCGCATTTCTTTAGTATGACAGTTTAACCGTCGCATCCGACAATGACCACCGTATGCTCCACAGCAGGCTGAGATCATGGACGGTGACTTGTGCGAAAATTTAGTTTATAGTGATAGTAGACTTGCAAAGCACCTACCACACTCTGCCCCTTCCTCACTTCCCACTTGGACCCCGTGTAAAGACAGAGCCAAGAAGAACGGAGGCGGGGGAAGGCGCAGGTAGATGGCACGGTCGAGCCCGCACCTTGGCGCTCCACTCCACACCCTCTGGTCCACACAGCAAATGACCAGGTTATTGATCAACGACTACAATGGGGGGGGGGGGGGCGGCAGGGGTCCCAGTGTGCGAGACGACTGCCGACAACCGGGTCCGCCATCGCACTCCAAAATGTTGGCGTTTGTTAAGGTGCGCAATCCGATAACTTCTGCCAGAATCCGATATGGTCCTCCTGTTGGTCCAGCGCATCTACCACGTTGCCCGTTTGGGGGACACCGCAATCCTACACACTGGCATACTGACCGACCTCCTGCCACCATATATCCCGACCGTCTTCTGTTGGACACACTCAGTGAGGCTTTGTAGAAACAGCTCATTCGCTGGTACCGGATTTCCAGGTCAGCCCGCATGTCCGACCACACAAAGTGAGGTCTTGGATGGCTGGCTGTCAGGCTTTGATCTTCCTTTCAATGATGTTGAACTCGCATTTCCGATCCTGCTGCCTATTATCGCCGGCGTGGGAATCTTTATTCGCTTTTTTTGCGGAATCCATCTCACTGTACACGCTATGCCCTGTCATTTCAATGAATGGGGGGATCTGACTAGTCTGGAACCTTCAAAGCCTTCAGGTTATACTCTTTTGGTGTTTGACAACTAATTACATGGGCTACCTTCCCTGCCTGACTTCACAGGGCCATAAAACGGCTAGGCGTTGGTGGTGTTAGAAACCCGGTCGTCTCCTGAAGCCTAGAGCCATGTCGAGACACAATAGTCCCGAATCACTGCTTTTTAATTTCCTCAGAAATTAACTGCAAACTTGGGGTAGATTAGTATATTCTAGAGTCTATAGACGTAACCCGAAATTCGATGCATGAATATCTGGGCCGAAGTCCATCGGCCACAGCGGATAGCCGCGTAATATTCATTAACTGTCGATAGGCAGCTTGTAGTATATTTGAGGGTAAGGGGATACCATACTTACAGAGCTGGTACCAGCCAAAAGACTAATCACATGGGTTACTTTCCCTGCGAGACTTCACAGAGCGTGGCCGACGGTTAGGAGTCCGCAGTGTTAGAAACCCGATTCTCTCATAGTTCTTGTTTGACAGTCTAGAACCACGTCGAAAGACAATAGTCCCAAAACAGATGGCAGGGAAGATGGTTAGAGGGACAAGCCTTTGCCGAGACAGAGAACGTACGGGCAGCACCACAAGCAGTCAAAGCTAGCCCTCTCACTGAGAATGTTTCAGCCGAAGTTCATGCGCTCGGACCTCATTCGGCTGCGGCCAGTCGGTGAAGAGACAAATATCGACAGGCGCCAGAGCGTTGTAAGCCGAAGGCTGAGTCACGCGAGTACGCAGCGCTTGTCACGCATGGTAGGTGGATCGAAGTCGACATGGGTAAGCGGCAGCTTTGGCGACCGTTGGGGGGAAAGTTCGAAGCTTGCCAAAAAAAACTCTGCGAAGAAGGAGACACGATCGCTGGAAAAGAAGCTTTATTGGCCTGATGTTTCTGATTCTCACTCGAATCCATCATCAGATACGGAATCAGATATTTTGGCACTTTAGACTGATGCGTCTGGATCTGTGATCAACGATAACCTACTTTTCTGATCATACTCTTATCGATGACAACGTTGAGATCAGCCGCGTCCGTTGAGTAAAGACTGACGTGCACTCCTTCTACGGCAATACCCTTCCCTGAGAGAAACATTTTGGTTTATGGGGGATTTTCTAGGATTCCGCTAGGCACTCAGATGTCCTCCGGCGCATCTGGAAGAAGGAGACTTTTAGCTGAAAGGAATACCACTGAGATCTTTGCCAGTCTCGGTTGTTCACTTGCTACGTTTGAGATTTCCGCCAACACGGATAGAGCAAAACTGTGCTAGGGCACCTCGAAGACTTCATCCTCGGAATCAGGCAAGTTAGCTAATAAAAGCAGAGATGCGAGTTCCAGGAAGTAGTCGCGAAGGGGACACTATCGCTGGAACAAGACTAATAAAGCCCTTTTTCCAGCGATCGTGTCTCCTTCTTCGCAATAAACCAAGTGCAACGAAACTCTCGCACAGGATGGCCGCACATCGTTAGCTATAGTAGAGAACGGATTAGCAATCTTTTGGGCTATCCAAACGCCGGGGGTCAAGGGAAAGATGTAAGAACGCGAGATCAGAAGCTTTTCATTCTTCCTCACTTCTACGGGAGCCACATTAGCGTCGGGACACTTTCGCGTCCATGGCGGGACTACCAACATCAACACCGCGCCGAAGAAGACCGGAAACCCTTACCAATTTCTTCGAACCCACCCTCATTGTGAGCGCATCTCTAAAGCCAGATTGCTCTGGCTGGACACCTCAGAACAATCGACCCTGATCCTGCGGCAACTTTCGTCACTATTCAGAGGACGAAAATGCGATCACTGGAACGAGGAATTTATTGACCTGACGTTTCGGATTCTCACTCGAATCCATCATCAGAGACATGCGCAGAACCTCTGAGGCTGCGCGACCGCATCCCACCGGACTCAACCCGGCAAAGAGCAGACAAACCCCTACGGCCCCGGCGTAGGGAGCGTAATAGTAGGAGCGTTTGTTGTGGGGGATGCAAAATCTGAATCTACGTGCGCTACTCCCAGCCAGCGTGTCGTCGCCTATTAGGACCCCATTTCCGAAGTTGGCTAACCTACTCACCCGTACTGATTGTTTCTACTTCAACAGCAGAGGCACTTGATTTTGTCTTGCAGAAAACCTGCAGAAAACCTGCGCCCCAAGCTCCACTTATCAACTAGTCCAAAAGCAATTGCATGGAGATGGGCAGAATGGTATTACCGACAAAGACAAGGGAAACTGGAATGGCCATTTCTGGCTTACTGGCCGTCGTCAGCCAGTGATACGCAACCCCGAAGTGTGCGACACCTGGGGCTCGATCCGGCGACCTGTTGGTCAGAAGTTCAACGCCTCTAGCCACGGGCTCGTTGTCCTGTCGGTTGCGATCGGGAATATACAATGGTAGGCCGGCGCTCACCGACCGCGCCAAGGAACTCACTCGATGGATGAGAGCCCGCCTACCGTCGTATGTTCCCGATCGCAACCGAAAGGACGAGCCCGTGGCCAGAGGCGTTAGACTTCTAACCAACAGGTCGTGGGATCTAGCCCCAGGAGTTCCACACTTCGGGGCTGGGTATGACTGGCCGACGACGACTAATAAGTCATAAATGGCCATTCCAATCTGCCTTGTCTTTTTCTGTAATACCATTTTGCCTATATAATGCGCCGCTATGTAGCTGTTGGTTGGGCTCGAGAGAAAACCCCAAGATACAACGGGACGAGTGACTTCCTTAACACGATGGGTGTGCGTCCCTCTACCATTAATGGAGGTTACTATCATCGACCACGACCTTTCCGGAATATAGTCTTATCGAGGACATTTCATTGAATGGCACCAACAACGTCCATCTGGCAAACTATTTACCCAAGTGCAGGGATCTGCCCTTTGGCATAAAGCTCTCTCCAGGACTGCAACGGTGGAACCAAAATTGCACCCAACTAGAGCGGAATTGGTGGGGAGTTTGAACACAGAGCGCCTCCACTGCATGTCCCCCTGGGCGTGCATGAGGCTGCGTCCAACCACGAAATGAAGTTGACCACCTCGAAAACAATCTGAGGCCTTTAGCTAAATTGTCTAACCGCTCAGAACATCGCAGCCGGTGACGCCTGTGACATGCTTCTTGCCTTTACAAGAAGGCGCGTCATCGGCCTCTGGGCAACCACTAAGACGCAAAACCCACCAACCCTCACCACCGCCGCCGCCATCACTCAGTCTGTAGGATCTCTGAAAATGAGCAGAGCTCAAAGAACCCTGAGGCGTCGGCGGCCCCGTTGAATAAAGTGGACGGCGTCTTCCGTGTGGCATTTGCGAAGCTCAAGTCCACGAACGCTGTTCCACGTCAACGTCCATCCAAACTCCAACGACCCCCAGGGATTCATGTTCACGGTAGCATATTTAGTTCTCACGGCCGGTCCTAGTTGTCACGGAGACCCAACCAGTTTACGCAAATTATGCCTAGAACTCCTTCCTCACTTGGGTGTCAAATATGCAATAACGCGAGTGGCGCTGTCAATGAGTACGGCCAAACTATCAGAGACAAACTTAAACGGTTCTCAGTGTCCCTCGGCCAGAAGATATATATATATATATATGGCGAGTGGAAAATGTTTTAGAAATACACTGTACAAAAACTGCTAGGCTTGTGACGCAACAGCCGCTATCGGTTCGAGCATGGCGCTGAATAAATTGTTGGCTCTGGCATAAAGCGCCACGGTAATGGGGTCTGTCGAGGTTGGCGAGGAGGTCAAGGCCAGCAGCGTCGATGGAGTGATGGAACGAAGGCTGGTGGCGTCGTCCGGTCGTCCAAAGTAAACGCCAAAGACGAGAGGGGAAGCGGATTCAGAGTCTGACTTCGCTTTTTTTGCGACGCCAGGTGTTGGCAGAGAGAGGAGAGGGTGTGTGACATCCACGGCCAGAGTAATGGCTTTAGGGGGTAGGGTAGAACAATGCAAGCGAAGGGTCACGAGCGGTGAATGATTAAAAACAGAAATTAGTTTCAGGGTCGACGGGAAAACCCCTCACACACTGGATCGCCAGTCATCTTAACACATGCAAGACAGTTGGTACAAGTTTAGAAGCGAGTTTAAAAAAGGCCAACACTGAATATCCCTAAACACCCGGGATAACCGAATTCCTAGCTTTGAATGCACATTCTTCGAAATGCATCATGCAAAACGGACAAATGGGAAATTTTTTGGTGGTCTTTGATCCACGATGCAAAGACTGGACCTGGGAGAGGCGTAAATCGGGAAGGACTGGAAATAATTTGAGGTGAATCGAGCGCACCATGGAATAGCAAAGAAAGGAAAGTAATTTGAGGCATGCTCAGCTTAGGGTTAATGTTGAGGTCGGATCCGGAATTCGGCCGAAGTGACACGAAATCCATTGACTCGTTCTCATCAACAGGGTGGACGTAAATTCTGCCAAAAGTCTGGATATGGGGCCGTGAAAAAAAGTTTGCTCTCACCAGTGGACGCGGATATCAACATGAACACAATAGGGGTAACCTCTCCGGCCCACACCGCGCAACACGCTCCATCACCGAGGATTCCCTAACGTGCGGACCTCCAAGCACGACTCTGCGATCATAACTTATCGTACGTTCATAGCATCGAATGTCCATGGGTGGCACTTAGAACCAGAGGCCGCGGACAAAGCCCATCAAACACGGATCCGGAAGCAACTCACAGATCGATGTGCACAGTGGCTATAGATGTGAAAATGTGCGTGTGAAAATGGTCGTGGAGAAAATGGACACGAAGTCTGTGAGTTTGCTCATCACTTTCTTCCTATTCTAGATTGTGCCATGGGCGGCAGTAAATGGCTGCTCCGTGAAGTTAAAATGTGTTCATTAATAAAACATATACGACGATAATACCATGATTCCGAAGCCGGTGGGTCGTCTATGGGCATCTGAAGACCAGGGTCATATGAGACACCGGTATTTCCTCAACGGCAATTGCAGAATTTCAACGGAAAACAGCTGCCTTAGGACAGATACTGGGGTGCAAATTGATTGGATTCTGGGAAGGTCCTACACAGAGTTGACAGTGTCGACTTTGCACCCGGGTCCTTGCTGACTGATCTTGACTACGTTGACGATAACACTTTACTAGCTCCGAGCTCTAGCGATCTACAGTCTATGGTGCCACGGGTGAATTAAGTTGCTACATCTATCGATTTAGCCTATAAACGCTGGGAAGACCAAAGTATTTTCAAGCTGCATCCCCGATCAGGAGAAGGCATCTCTCGAGATTACTGGCTGTCAACTTGAAACTGTAGAGTTTAAAATACCTCGGGGCTGTGGAATGGATATAGTAAGGACGACATTGCCTTCCCAATTAATGCTGCCCACCGGGTTTTCTGAAGTGTCTACGGACCCGACGCGGCGTCTCCATCGCCACGGATATTCGCGTGTACCGTGCATCCGTCCGGTTAGTCCTTCTGTACAGTTGTGAATGATGGGCTGTGTGCGTGGAAGATGAGCGAAAGCTGAGAGTATTCGGACACCACTGCTTGAGGACTATCCCTGAGCAAAGTGCATCGTCACAGATAAGACAGTGCGCACTCGCTACGGCAACATCATAAGGATATCTCAGGCAGTTCAAGAAAAACGACTGCGGCGGTTTGAATATGTTCTTCGTCACCCACCACAGTGTTGCTGCCGTCGACCCGGCACCGTTTCTTACTTCGAGGCGTCGAAAGGGGAATCAACTCAAAATCCGGTTCGACACAGTCCGTCATGGCATGGAAGTGCTTCTCGGACCCTCGGTATCTGGACTCCGTCGCTGGTGAAGAGAATGGGTTGGGCTGTTCAGATCTGCCGCCGCGGATCGTAACGTGTGGAGATGTGCGGTCCGTGATATCATCGAGGCCGGTTAGATAAGACATGATCGCAGCCGTACCAAGTACAAGTGTACATAAGTGCAAACTGATTGCTCATTTGGCAAACCATTGACAGGTTTTAGGATAACAACACCACTTTGCTACCAAATCCAAAGCATATGGGGCGGCAGGCGAACCAACGAAAGCTCTGCTAGAACATGTCTACTACATCGAAAAAACTAGCCTAAGCAGGCCAGTGGAACGGGCGCGGACTGATGGGTTTTCCTTAAACAGTCTTGTGTACAGTCGACATGACATTCTAAGGACACTCAGTTGACTTGGCTGCCGTCTAGGCATGCCTGACGAACCTAAACTGTCAAATGTAAAGAAAAAGGTGATCGGTCCATAAGGTGGATAAAATAGCGAAAAACACAAGCATACGATCAGGCAAAGCCGTCCGCCTCATTAGATTTGGAGCTTGGAATACAAATGGACAGGCAGTCCAATCAGCGACTGATGTCGTTTACGTGTACTGACAGTTCGGCCGTTATTATCGACGATGTCCCACGGCAGGGTAGGCGCGGGGACGTAGACTAGCGCGTGAATTAGTCTGTGACAGCAGACTTTCGCCGCATCTACCGCACCCTCTATTGTCTCACCCTAATGGACCCGGTGTCACGACAGAGTTGAGAAGGCCAGAGACGGGATCGGGCGCAGATGTCTGGCGCGGGGCGAGCCTACACCTAGGTGTACCCATGCATGACATTGTCATGGGTATGCAGCCCGATTACGCGTGCTGTGCCCCGAATTGGCTCCATCACAACTCTAACGTGGCCCTTTTTAGGGGGCCCGGTCAACACTTTGTGTATCCTCCAAGTTCCCTTCGCAATAGATTCGTGATTGTGGAATACGGCTGTCTAGAGGATAAGGTGACGGACAAAGAGCTCAAAAGTCGGGTCTTTCGCCGACTTTGAGGTTTACAAACATCTTCTGGCATAGTAAGAGTTAGTATGCATAGACAGGGAAGCACAATCAGTGTGCACTAATAAAGTGGACAAATAAGCAAAGAAAGAACGATACGAAGAAGAAGTGTTGAGTAGACGTCATTGCCGGCCATAACAACTGACACTTCTGAACAAATCCGAACTCATTTACACGCTTGTTCTTCGGTTTCTATCGCAATGGCAGCCAGAGGCGCAGGCAAGACAGAACAATCTTGCACAAATGGGCTCCGGATAGGAGTCATAAGAACCATGATGGACTGTGCGGTGCACAGCCAAAAAAAATCACGAAGCAGGTCTGAAAGAAATGCAAAATAGTGCGGAAAAAGCATGTTAGAAGACCATCCACTCACGTCGTAGAGTAGGATCTAGCTCAGAGGTACAAACGGCCACCACCGTGGCCCTGAGGGGTATTGATGTCTGTAGGAGGGCGAGAGTGAGAGCGTTTATACAGGCTGCCATTGTTGCTGGATGGCCGACGGCGCCAGACACCATTTGAATGCGGACGTTCAGCTGATTGCAAAGAAAATACGAATAACTACCTCTAGTCACGCAAAAACAAGCAGGAGACCTTCTTTTAGGGAAGCATGAAGCAGGTAAAACAGAATGATAAGACTCGTAAGGCTCAAGATCAACCAGCAATCCGCACTCAATAATTTGCTCCACAGTGAAGGACTTCGAGCGCGCATCACACTACCATAAAAAAACTATAGGGGAGTCGTGCATGCCGATGAGTTCAGAGGAAGTGAAGAATACCATGCGGGGCCTTGTGAATTTAGGGCCAGAGGTGAAGTATTGCAATTCACGCTACTCAAATATAGCAAAAACAATTCGGAAACATAAATACGAAGAGAGGTGAGGGATTGGGGTGGCCAGATAGGAGCGGTGCGAAAACCATATATTAGATTAAACTCTCAGATATAAGCTCTTCAACTGACATTATTAAAAGACCTTAACATGGCTTTCAACGTTTAAAATCCCGAATAAGGATGTAGCCAGAGCAAAAATGTAAAGAATGAAAATATACGAAGGAACCTCATGCGAAATTCGGCACATGAGCTCCCGAAAATAAGCAAATTCCCCAGTTCGATGTGCTGAAACAAGATTCTTCTACAGATTAAAAAAGACGAGCATGAGACTTTTTCCTGGAAAGGCTAGCTTCTACGAGTTGCGAGTATATAAGTTCTTCCGACAAAAGCCATGATCTCTCAATCTGCGCTACGAAGCAGCAGCAGCCTATAGCAAGAACGCGAAATAAATTTCAGTAGGTCGTTCGCTTTGCGTTGTCAATCTGAGCAGAAAAACAATGCAAATTATAAACAGCCGGACAAGTTCAAAATGGACGGGATATCCAATGCGCTAGCAGACACATCCGAGGGCGCTAGCGCATAAAATAAGGTTCGCCAAAAGAACACGAAATCTAGTTGACTACGCCGGGTTGAAAGCATCCAATCTGGTTTACGCGCTAACATAAGGTTGACACAATGCTGATGTCACGCATGCGAGTGGAAATCTAAATTCCAACAATTCAAGGCATGGACCGTAGATGTACATGATTATAAGTGCGCAAAGTACGCAAAAAGGGAGCCTAACAAGCCAGGTTCTCGTCGACTAAACCGACTCAGCCTAAAATAATGTGAAATATGACTGAGGTGAAGAGTCAGATACGACGAATATCAAAATATTTGTAGCAACAGAAGACGAAACTTCAGCGAGGGATTCAATGGCAGTAAGACAAAAGACCTTAGGATTCGGCCGTTTTGGAAGTAACAGTCCTTGTAGCCAGACGAATAGATATTTAAGGCCTCGATCTAACCCGAAGCATGGTCGGGAGTTCAGCTGGAGATGACCTTAATACCTCACAGTAAGTAAGGATGGTGGCAGCACGCTCAAACCCCAACCTGCGACATAGGAGGCCAAGACCAGGCCGGTCAGAGCTTGCTGCGGATTCTCGACTAATTATATGATCGACTGACGGGTCACAATCTGAGCGAGAAACTCGGCCTTTCTGCTACATCTGCTGCCCACCGGAGTACGACAGTCAACAACGCACACGGAGGATAATCAGAACTTTACGTAATGCTGTCCGGTGTGCGCGCACTCGAAAGGAAGCCCAGGTACTTTGCAGCCCATTCCGCTCGGCAGTTCGTCCTACCATCCGACCCAACAGACAAGTAGGGAAAAAACGATACAATGTGTGCGTCATTCAGGCCCTTGATGACACTTATGAGGATTGATTAGAGTATGTTAACTAACCGGTCCTGACAAGGGTGAGCCGGTTGTGTAACCGACCATAGACAGTAAAAATAGCACCACCTGGATGAGTGCAATGTTATCTGTGGGAATTACGGGCTCAGTGTCCACAACATTGTGGCTAGACGAAAGAGCCGAATACGTCGTGAATAATAAGATGATTGCACAGATGCCTCCGCCCTGGAAAGGAAATCCATGAACGCTACGAATTTTCCTAGGCCGAATTTTGCGGCCGTGGAAAGAGGACGGTCCGCGAAGGCTCTGTCTAATTCAAGCACAGCCATATGGCTGTGATCCCCGATCCGATTAAGAACAATAAGAGCAAAACTAACTGGAATTCACGTGTAAATTGCAAATCTACCGTGACGCACCTGACACCGTGGATAGTCTTTGGTTTCAATAAGACGTTCAGCAAATTGCACCAGGAAGGTCTCCATTTCGCTTTCAGCAGGAGAATGAATGCCGGAAACAGGCACAATGTTGAATTCAATCGCAGCGCGATGCGTGAGTTCATTCGACATGCTGGCCTCCAGAGGACCGTATACTGATGCGACTACGTGTGCGTCGCCGAAGGCCCAAGTGGCCGACCCAGCTGCATCACAAACTGAATTTAATTCTAAAAACAAATTTGGTTTATGCATGCCGTCTAAACGGACGAGGACACAGTTGCACACCACATATGCGTCGCCCGCTCGGGATATTGTGTAGACAAACAAAGCAGGTGTGCGGTAACGTCTGTGATCCCTGACCCATACAATCTGTTCCCAGTAAACAGACATATCAACGTTGTAGGCATTTTCTTAAAGGATTTAGATAATATTAAGTTAAAATGCAGTTCGCAACTTCACGATGACATTTGCGTAATATTGTGTATCAAAATTCTTTTGTAAGTTCCCAGGCTATTTGAAAGAGAGAGTTACTAAAGAACTTGCGATCATTACAAAAAAGTTTGGTGTCAGAGAGACAAGGAGAGGTTTAGAATTGGAGATGAAGGTAAGTGAGGGCAATTGTCGATTTCCTCTAGTTAATGTGAAGCTTTGCTCGTGTGCAGTGCTGTGGCAACTGTCCAATACAACGTATTCTTTGCCCTCAAGATCACAGGTCCCTGAATAGCGTGCTACTTCATTGGAAGCCGGGCGCTACTTAGTGAAATTGTATGGGCGTCTACTGGGGTAAGTGTTGAAATTCGAGGAAGATTTCAACTATTATTAATGCGAAAAGGAGACAGAAGCCTGCTTCTAGTCTTCGAAATCATAAAAATTATAGGTTA